AACCGGTTTAGTCCTTGACTTACGACCGGTTGGGGGTCGCAGCATTAAAAAGGTTGAGAACCACTGGCCTATAGCATCTTAAATGCTCACACATTTTTCAGGTTTTACCAGATCAAGACCTAAGTCTGCAAAAACTTAAGCAATACAGGTAGTCCTTGACCAGGGGTCTTCAAACTTGGCCCTTTTATGACTTGTGGACTTCAACTCCCAGAATTCCTCAGCCAGCATTGCTGGCTAAGGAATTCTGGGAGTTGAAGTCCACAAGTCATAAAAGGGCCATGTTTGAAGACCCCTGTCCTTGACTTACAAGTTCATTTAGTGACTGTTCAAACTTTTACAATGGCACTGGAAAAAGTGACCTGTGTCCCTTTTTCAACACTTATGACCGTTGTAGCCTCCCCACGGTCACGTGATCAAAATTCCAACGCTTGCCAACTGACTCACGTTTATGACGATTGCAGTGTTCCGGAGTCACGTGATCCCCACGTGATCAAAATTCCAATGCTTGCCAACTGACTCACGTTTATGATGACTGCAGTGTTCCGGAGTCACGTGATCCCCTTTTGCGACCTTCGGACAAGCAAAGTCCACGGGGGGGGGGGGGAACCAGATTCGCTTAACAACCCATTTAAGAACTGCAGTGATTCGTTTAACAACCGTGGCGAGAAAAGTCGTAAAGTGGGGCAAAACTCACTGAACACACACACACACACACACGTCTCGCTTCACATAAATTTGGGGCTCCGTCGTGGTCGTAAGTGGAGGACCACCTGTAAACGCTCGGCGAAGTCTTTCAAAGTGTCACAAGACCAAAGAGACAAAATTCTGTTCCTCCCCATTGGATGAGCTGAGCACGGCCTGTTGCCAAGAGATAAGATTGAGTTTTTCTGTGTTGGAAAAAGGGGAAACAGCTGATGGCTGAGTCCGTCGGCAGCTGCTTTATAACCAGGTTAGGTTCTCTGGCCTGGCCGCTTGTCAGCTGCCATGTTGGCTTAAGCATTCAGGATCCCAAGACATTCTGACGCGTCCTTAATTTTGGACAGAGCAGGGTGAATCCAGCCCCTCACCAGGATCCTTTTGGAAACCAGGAGATTGTCAGAAGCGGGGCCCAGATTTTCACTGTGCAAAGCAAGTTCTCTGACTGTTCAGGTTTCCCCCACGGAGAGGAAAGAGTCCATCTCCAGCAAACTTCTGCTGTACAATTTGGGCATTTGTGAGTGTGTGTGTGTGTGTGTGTGTGTGTGTGTTTGTCCTCTCCTAAACAGCTGAGCAAGCTTCTTCAGCCCGGCTCTCAAGACAGCTGACTCTAAGCCCTGTATCCCGCTTTCTTGCCCCCAAATCTTCTGAATCCAGAATGACTTAAGGCCACTATTGGGGTCCTTGGTGCTCTCTGAGCCTGGCTGTTTTCTTGTAGACGTTTCATGACCCAACTAGGTAACATCATCAATGCTAGAATGGAATGGGATTTGCAGAGCGGAGGAGGAGGAGGAAGGACTGTGGGGTCCTTGGTGCTTTCTGAGCTTGGTTATTTCCTTGCAGACATTTCATGACCCTAATAGGTAACCTCATCAGCGCTAGGAGGATATCGCTCCATGCTCAGAAAGCACCAAGGACCCCACAGTTCAACCCTGAGCCACAAATATTCTCATCTATTGGTACTTAAGCTAACTCTGGGTCCACAGAGCTGAACCCCCTCAGGGTCTTTTGTATTTAGGCAATGAAAACGTCTCCAATCTGGCCTGCCCAAAGATACTGGATCACAGATACCATTATCCTCCAGTTGTTATATCCGCCAAATGTTATACAAGGCCAGGCGATCTAGCACCTTCCAGAGGTTTTCAGCTCCCATCAACCTCCTCCAGGATGGCCAAGAACAAAGTCAAACTAGAGACGAGCCACAGCGAGGGGGGGAAAAAAGCACTCGGTGCATGCTCAGAGGAGCTGCGATTTTGTTTTAATGAAAGCATTTCCCTGCATCTGTCACAGTGGGGAGGCTGAGGAGACAAACACATGTCTGCTATAAGGCCTCCAACATGCATGAGCATGCATTCAGACAAGCACGTGCACACAGGAGTTGAAAAACCACATGCTGCCAAGCTTGCTAATACGGATCGCTCATCTCCCAAGTTCCCAAAAGAAAAGAAGCAATAGGGGAGGGGGATGTGGGGGGGAGCAGGAGAGAGCATGCCTCCCCCCCACCAAAAAAGGAAGCCATTCCCATCCAGGCCTGGCCTCTGCACACTCACCGTCACACCTTCAGTTGTCGTATTTGCCCATGAAGTAAACGCATCGCTCATTGTCTGTGGCCAGAGTAGACGGTCTCTTCCAAGCTGGGCATACAAATCAAAACTGCTTGGGTTTTTGTTTTGTTTTTTAAAAAATAGACTCGGGAAAATTAAGAAGAGTGGAAAGCAGATGCATGTACACCTTTCGAAACGGGCTGAAGAGGAGGAGGAGGAGGAGAAGGAGGAGGAGGAGGAGGAACGATCACACTGCAGTCTTTTTCTCCTTTTTTTTTTTCTTCTTTCCCTCTCTCCCCCCCTGCAGCGTTTATCCCTGCTTCTCGCTCCGGTCTCTCTTGCAGCTCACATGTTTGGGGGGAAAGAGAGGCACCATGGCTGGCTCAGCTCACAACATCTTCACATCCCTCGTCTTCCGGTGGCGGAGATGGACCAGCGCCCCTCTCGTCTCTCCTCTTCTTCCTTTTCTGTGGCTGGATATCCTTCCTGGCAGAACCCAGATTCGTCGTCGTCGTCAGTCGGGGAAGGAGAGAAAAGGGCTGTTGGTGATGGAGAAGGAAGGAAAATGTTTTTTTGTTCTGGTTGGTTGGTTTTAAGAGCAAGATGGAGAGCTGGGAGATGAGGAGGAGGAGGAGGAGGAGAAGAGAAGGGAAGATCTGGGACCAAAACAGCTAGAGGTGAGGAGAGCCATCCGTTTTTTCTCAAGGCTAGGGGGCTTTTTTTTTTCTCCCTGGCACTTTTTGAGTCGGCCTTCCCGCCTCCCTGCTTTGCCACAGCAAGGAGCCGAAGACATCCAGCCAGCTATGAAGAGCCACAGAAAGCCGTTCCCTTCGGCCTTCAGAAATACAACCGGGCTCAAGAACCCGCTTAGCTCGCTCAGCCCCTGCCACCCACTCAGCCAGCAGCCCTGCAGGGTGGAAATGAACTCATCCTTCTCTTCTTCTTCTTCATCACCATCATCGCTTTTAAAAATGCAACCCAACGCCACCAGTTCGGCAGCCTCAAAAGCCCACACGTGGGGGTGACTCACAGGAACCCACCAGCATGAGCAACAGAAGACGGGGCGGTGGTGATAGGAGCCACTGCAGAGATGCCGTAGAGACGGACGAGGCTGGGTTCAGCCAAGCTGCAGTGACAAGGATGGACTAAGGCCCGTCCTCGGGAGAAGGAAGAAAATGAAATAAAAAAAAAAAAACACTGCAAGGCACTGCCTGAAACAGGTGGTGGATTCCAAGTTCCCCTTCCTTTTTCTCTGCTCCCAGTGTGTTCTCTCTATTGTAGATGGTTGGAGCATCTTTCCAGAAGTGGGGCCTTGCTCCCAGCTTCTCTGCCAGCTAGGCATTATGGGAAATGCAGTCCAACACATCTGGAGTTGAGGAAGGTGTTCGCATGGTTATCAACATCTAAAAAAAGGGCTTAAGCACGAAAGGCTGCAGAGGGATTATAATAAACCTGTATTCATCCTGTCCATTTGCAACAGCTGACTGCAGCAAATACATTTTAAAAATCTCTTCTGCTGCCAGTTTTCTCTGGGTTTGTTAAGAGAAAATGCTTCCAGCTTCCTTTTTTTTGGGGGGGGGGTAAGAAAGCTAGTGGCAGCCCTTTAATTTGTTTAGCCGCCCAGGCTACAAAGGTTTACAGTCGTAATGAACACAACACCTTTGTATTTTTGTCTAAGGAAAGTTTCTTTGGGTAAAATTCATCCACCAGTCCAGCTCCTGCAGCCTGGAAATCTAGCTTAGCAAGGAAAAAAGTGGCAATCCCTCGCCATTGCTTGACTGTAGGTTTAGATTTGTAAATTTCTTTTTTTTTTTTAAGAGGGATTTTTTACCTTCCCTAGTGATACATCCATGTGCGGAGTGTTATGAGTGAGCAGCCCACAGTGCCATCCCTACAAATTAAATAAGAACTACAAATCCACATCAAACTGAAAAGCGTGGCTGCGCTTAGATAGCAACGGGAGACTTATTATTTAAAGCCCATCTTTCTGCCTGCTGATTGCAGCCTCTCTGGGGAAAAACCAAAGTAGCCTGCAAAATACTCACGCACGGTTCAAAATTCAGAAGACTTGATGGCGGGGGGGGGGATGCTTTTCCTTTGGCTGAGCATGGGGCTAGACTGGATGATCTCAAGAGGTCCCTCCTCTGAGGGATTCTATGCAAGGCAACAGCACAGGGGTAGCTGTATTTTATTTATTACGTTTATCTGCTTTGCACCCCCCCTTCCGCCAATTCCAAATAAATGGGACTTTCTGCCATGGGGAATTGGAGCATTTTGAAAGGGATTTTTTTCCCCCAAGGCCCAGAATGGCAGGGAGACGCATCCTTTCCTCACCACCCCCCAGCCTTGTCCACAGAGGGAAGGTGAAGAGAGGCATAGAAGCATGTCATTTCCTTGGTGATGTGCAATTGAGAAGCAGGAGATTCTGATTTTCACCTGCTTGGGAGAAACGGGATTCTAACACCTCTGTTCCCACCAGCGATTCTGCGTCTCCAGGGAAGGTAAAAAAAAATGGCAGCGGATGGTGGCAGGGAAGAACAGCCAAGTGCCTCTGCAGCTCCATTCACACAACCACCTTGGTGAGGCTCCAAGGAGGCAGGGGGCTTGGATTCAGCACACTCCCTGAAGCAGGCCAGCCTGCGACAGCTATAAAGCATTTATCCTTGGGGTATAAGATGGTAAAGGGGGTTTTCCCAGAGGTTGTGTGAACCCAAGTAGTCAAAGGGACAGTGAGTTCTCCTGCAGGCAAGACTCGGGGGAGAAGAGGGTCCTTTAAGGCAGAATCTGCTCAGGAGAAGCAGGGAGGCTGTTTCTAAACAGAACGCCCCCCTTTAAAAAATAATAATAAGGTTTTGTAAATGACTCAACTTGCAGCCTATGGAGAAAGCCCATTATATGGCATACAAGCCTCGTCACATCTTATTCCATCAGAGCTACACAGCTTTAGAAAGTCTACATGAATATAGTTTCTACGTCCCCCTATTGCTCATTACCCAGGACTCTGGTGCTGGGGAGGTAGACTGCCCTTGCCCACAGAAGCTCAAGAGCCATGTCTCCCTTGGGAGAGAATTGGCTAAAGCATGCCTAATCATGCCTGATTAAAATTATTAAAATTTCTAACTTTTTTTTTGGGGGGGGGGCATCTAGGCAGCCCAGGAAGACCACCAGGCAGAATAAAAAAGAGAGAGACTTCACATGAAAAATAAAGGAACGTAAAGGACGAAGAGGGAAGGATGGACGAGTTTTTAAAGACTCTTTGGGGGCTGCAAAAAAAGGGGATTCCAAATGTGTGGGTTTGTGTTTTTTTTCAGGGAGCCTCCATTCCTGCTCACTTTCACCGTGGATGCACAAAAAGAGCAGTCAAAATGTGTGTGTGTGTGTGTGTGTGTTGTCTCTGTGTGTGTGATTTTTACCAGCAACAAAAAGAGAATTGCTAGCAGGCTATTTTTGCAGCTATTAAATGCTCGACTACCGCAATTACAAGATCTCAGGAGGAATGGGGGAATTTTTTTTGGGGGGGGGGGAAGAGGGAGAGAAATCTCCCCAGCTGGGGTTTGACCGAGTTGCCGATCTTGCGGGCTTGGAGGCGAGCAAACCCCAAGATCACCACCACCCCCTTTAAACCGGGGTTCCCTTTTCTCTCTCCCCACCGTCGCTCGGTGCTACCCGGTTCCATCGTAGCAGGCTTCCTCTCGAGTAAACACGCCTAAGAGCCCAACCCCAGGACAGCTGCCGCCCACAGCAGCTGCAATTTCGACCCCAGAAGTCCCACACACACACACACACACACCCAACCCCATCCCTGCCCGGGAGGAGAGACGGAATATACAGAAATCCGATCGTGGCTGGGTCGACACCGGAGCCCGGATCGGTGAATCACTTCATTGCATACACGGAAGCGTCCATTCGCTTCCTCCAACCCAGCCAAAGGTAAATAATAATAATAATAATAATAATAATAATAATAATAATAATAATAATAATAATAATAATAATAAAGGACTATATAAAACCAAGCCCAGTTCGATCCCAAGTCCGCAGCCGCGCTAATGCTTTCCCCGGACCGGTGTTAACGTTACTGTGGGAAAGGGAATAATCATCCAACGGCACGGACCCGCGTCTCAATCTCCCTTGCCACCCACCCACCCCCACCCCGCCAGCTGGCATTGCCCGAAACAGGTTAACCTGTGCCCAATGTAGATTATTCATCCGTTTCAGCGCGTTCTCCCCCCTCCCTCCTCGGAAGAGGGACCCCCAGATGCAATTTAGCCTACGGACTCTCCCTCCTAACCTAATTGGACCCCGGGGGGGGGAGAGAAGGGGGGTCGAAGGAGATCGCAAGGTAGAAAACGGATAGATTAAAAATGAGAGGGGGGTCGTACGCTTCCCCCCACCCCACCCCACCCCACCCCACCCCCGGCAGAAGGAGACAGAAGAAAAGAAGCGGAGCGAGCAACAGAGAAGGAACTCTCCTTCCCCCCCCCTGCCAAATTATACACAGATATACCGGGGGGGTGTGGGTTATACACAGATATACCGGGGGGGGACCGGGGGGGGGACCGGGGGGGGACCCCGCCCAATTCCAGCCACACCGTTTCCTACAAGCTCCAGATCTGTCTCTCTCCCCCCCCCCATGAAACAAACAAGCAAAGNACCCCCCCGATCCATTAGGGTGGATTTCTTATGTGCAAGAAATCCCTTTTTTTTCTCTCTCCCTATTATTACTATTATTATTTTTTAAAAAGGAAGACAAATGACAGCCCTTCCGTCCGCCGCCCCCCCCCCCTCGCCAAAAGGAGACCGACCGAGAAAAGCAGCCAAGAGAGAAGGATCGTTATTTGCAAGAATCGGGGTTGGACACCACCACTACCACCCCTTAAAAAAAAAATAAAAAATAAAAGACAAGATATAAGGAAGGGAAGGGGGGAAAAAAAATAATAATGACTCACCTAATTCGAATTCAGGGATCCCTGTCTGATCAACAAAAAAAACAAAAAAAAAGCGAAGCGAAGCGGCGGCGGTTGCAATTTTTTTTTTTTTTATGTCTTGGGGAAAGG